CCCCCCCCCCCCCCCCCCCCCCCCCCCCCCCCCAGGCGATAAATAATGACCGGTCCCTTAAAGATAATGTTTCAAAACGCTTGCCACATTAAATCTTTCTTTCCATACAAGGACCGTCTTATTCGCTCTCAAAGATCCAAAGTTATTTACAAAGCTTTTTCTTGGGATTGTAATGATATTTACACTCGGGTAAAACTAAGTGACGGCTCCATGACAGTAAGACTGAACACTTCAAGTCCCTAACAGAAAAATGATCACTCTTCAGCTATTGCTGTCCATATCACTGCCACCGGACATGACATTAAGTGGGATCACTTTGAAATCTTAGCATCTGGCAAAACAGATTATTATTGTAAGATAAAAGAAACTTTGTTTATTCAAGACCTTAGTTAAGCCAGCGTCAACATCAGCAGTGAAAAGTTGATGCTTTTTTAGCTGTTGCCTTTTGTATTCTTTACTGTTAAGAATTTTTAAATTATTAATCTCATTTTAAGACCCCTTATAGTTTTGGAACATATAGTCTCGTCAGTTTCGAGCAAGTCTATACACTTTTTTGCAAGGAGGGGGGTTTAATATATTTAGTCCTCGATAATGGAAAACTACTGCGAGAGACTAAACTGACACCAGTTTCCTTGTAAATTAGAAGCGCAGCCAGGACAATTTTAAGCGCGTCTTACTTTTTTTATTTGATTTCTCATGACTCCAGACAGAATATGATTATTTAAAGCACAGATCACTACTGCTTCTTGAAATGTTGTCTTATGATTATTACGTTATTATTTTCACTATTATTATTATCTTTATTGTTTTTATCTTTATCTTTAACTTTATCATCATCATCATCATTATCATCACTACTATTTTTACTTGAGACTGGTCAGCATCTGAATTTTACAATACCGCCACAGCACATCCTGAAACTAGCATCGTAAGCTTGGGTCGCGCAACACGCGGGTCTGATTCCGGACCTGACCTGTACAGTGCCACCACAGCAGATCCTGAAACTAACATCGTAAGCTCGAGTCCCGCAACACGCGGGTCTGATTCCCGACCTGTCTTGTACAGTACCACCACAGCAGATCTTGAAACTAGCATCGTAAGCTCGAGTCCCGCAACACGCGGGTCTGATTCCCGACCTGACTTGTACAGTGCCACCACAGCAGATCTTGAAACTAGCATCGTAAGCTCGAGTCCCGCAACACGCGGGTCGTATTCCCGACCTGACTTGTATTGTACCGCCACAGCACATACGAAATGTCGGGTTGTAGGTTTTTCCTCCACATCTGGCGCTAATAAATCGACGTTGCCTGCTTTCTGTTGTCATGTCATCTAGTGGCGAATAAAACAAAGACGACTTAAGTCCCAGGCCATAGCAAAACGTCAACAAAATGCATACACGAGAAAAGAGGCAGAAGAAGAATTTCGCACCAGTATCGTACTCGCGATGGTGCGTTGAAGCTTGTATTTTTCTAAAGAGAAACTGAATTAATTAAGCACCGTGAACTAACCTTGCTCCTCTTTTGAGCCATCGTAATCTTTGAAGTTATCATCTTGGAATTCAGCATCCTCCTCATGAGGGGCTTCACTACGGCTTCTTTGGTCCTTTAAATTTCCATATTTGAAATCTGTCAGCGAATCTAGTTCTTCCGCCAGTTAGTTCGCAGCATAGCTGCCGCAAAAACACAAGACCACAGCTGCAATAAAAGCAAATCTTAGCTTGACCATTGTTGGTACACTGAATATGCTCTCCTCTGCTTCTCAGTCACTGACTGCTTCACTCCCTCGAACATTCTTATGTTTTTATAGTGTCATTTTATGGCGGCCCAGAAGGCTCAAAGCATTTCCCTTTTTCTTTGGCGTTTTCTTTTTTTATTTGCGTTTTCTTTTGTTTCATTTTCGTTTTCCTTTTGTATTTGCGTTTTCCTTTTTTTTTATTTGCGGTTTCTTTTTTGTTTGTGTTTGAGCTAGGCCACCGTACACTACCACGACCACTACTAATCTTGGGGAGTGCCACACTGCTCTGTAACTTCGAAGTTCGTCGGAACCAGATATTTCCCTTTTCGCGATTTCCTTAACTTCGTGATCGCTAACGTCCACGCCACGTCTGCTGAGACCGTAGTCACGAAATAGGCTTATTGCATCTGTATCAAAAATACTACTGGTGGCGGCGGCTTGCGAGAACTCAGGAGTTTCACGTTTCCTGTTTACTTCCGTTTTTCTTTTATAATTGCGTTTTGCTTTTTTGTTTGCGTTTTTGTTTTAAATATTTGTCTTTTTTGCATTTTCCTTTTTTATTTGCGTTTCTTTTTTGTTTATGTTTGAGCCTTCTGGGCCACCGTAATTAGGTAGAATATCGACAGAGCTCACACTATAGTTTATACAGACATATATATATATGACTGGAAGACCAAGAGGCTTTTGTTGATTACCAGATCATAATAAAAGCGAATTCGACTCCGAAGAAAGAGGAAATTTTAGCTGAAGGCAAAGTTAAGTAAACTTGAAAACTGAAGAGACCCGCAAGAGAATTGAGGGGCGAGAAAAATATACTCACTTCAGTGAGAGACAATTATCGCGTGGGGAATATTTTGGCGGAGGCTTTTTATTCACTTCTTTGTTTTTGTGGGTGATATTTGTAGAGTATTGGCATCTTCTTCTCTTGGTATTGTGTTGTCTATTGATCAAGCGGTGTCTGTCTCTTGAATTCCTGCCAATTAACACACCCACTATAATCGGTAGTAGTCAAGGTAAGTCAACACTACACGTATTCGTGTATCTTGTTTGGAATCGAATCGGGTATTTAGGGTATGACTCGACTTTAATACGCATATATAAGGTCCATTGCAAGATCATAATATTTATGCGCTCTGCATCTGGTAACCTAATTAAATTCCCCCTTGTTGAATTCAATACAGAACCGGATATAAACTGCAATTTATTTGCTGCGACGTTTTCCGTACAACTTTTTTCAATTATTTTGTTTTTTAGCCAGATTAAGACAGATAGAGTTTCCTGGTACAGGTAAGTTTTACATGCTTATACTCTAAACAATTTGATACTGGTTCGTATATATCATTACAACTAACAGAAATATAATATTTGTCTTTTTTAATATGAGCGGAGACTTAAGAGCAAATGATTACATTTGTTTTAATCTTCATTAAGGCTTACTCTGAACAAAATCATGATATTGAAATCAAATATTACCACCGATTTTTAGTGCAAATGGCTTATTCTTCTAGAGTCACTTTTCACTACCCCAAATGAGTTTCATTTTGAGATGAAAGGCTGGTCAGCATCACCCATGCCACACACCCACTTATTGCCGAGCCAATTTTTACAGCACTTTTTGGAACGGGCATCATAGCCTTTGGTCCCACAACACCTTGGAGTACTTCCGAACCTGAATTGTACGGAAATACCGTCACAGCACATTTGATACGAGGTGTCATAAGCCCTGGTCCCACAGCACCTTGGACTCATCCGGTATAACTTATATTGAACGGAAGTACGGCCACAGCACATTTGGATACTGGTGTCATATGCTTTGGTTCCACAACACCTTGGCCTGGTTCCAAACTTTAATTGTACAGTACCGCCACAGCACATTTTAAATGATGGATTGTAAGTTATTCCACCACAAGAGCGTCTTCGACTGCTATCTGCTGCCCTAGTTTCTTCTGCGAAGAAACAGGAAGTATTAAAGAGGAGGGAAGTAATATAAGAATCGGGAACTAGCTGTAACATCAGAGTGCTAGCCTGCGTAGCAAACGTTTCCGTGCCTTTTCGGAGCAAATAACGAGGAACGAGTGTCAAAGACCGCAGCCAAAACCGAAAATCCAGTTCCTCGTCGTTCCTCGGTCTTTCTTTGTTCCGAAACCACACGGAAACGCTTGCTACACAGTTTATCAGAGCGATAAAACTCGCTCGTGTAAGAGATTCCGGAATCCGGCAAATTTTTGCTTTTAGAATGTGAAAACCCGGGTTTTTGGAATAGGGAATACAGCTCATGGAGTCCGGAATCGCACTAACGATTGGAATCCAGAATCCAAGTTCTGCTCACATGGAATCCAGAAGCTAAGAGTGTCCTGGATTCCCTAGTCTGCTACACAGCCGTTTTTAGAGTCGCCACGCAACGCTCCTCCCCACTAACTGGGGAGGAGCGTTGCGTGACGACACTAAAAACGGCTGAGTAGCAGACTATGGATTCCCTTACAAGGGGCGATAAAATGTAATTTGTGTAAATTAGAACTGGGTTCTAGTGTGGCGCGCGAGGGATCGTGGTTAGGGGGGATTTGATTTAGTGACCGTTTAGTGGAGTTTTTCACGTCAGTTAATAAAGTGTTTCATGGGCCTGGCTGACCGACGCACCCATCCCTCCAAGTGTTGTTTTGTGTGTTCGGTTGTGTAGTGGAGCCAAAATACGTTTAATCGCAGCGTGTTTGGAACCCGGTTTTGTTTAGCCTGCGAAAACAGCCTACATTTGGCGACGCTACCACTGGCTTCCCCGCCAAATGACGTCTGAGAAACGAGCGCAGAACTTCCGTAGCTTCTGGTTAACTTAACGTGCCGTATGGGAAATTTGATTCAACCAATCAGAAGCACTAACAAGATATGGGTAGTGACGCGTCATCAGTATGGAATTTCTGCGCTCGTTTCTCAGACGTCATTTGGCGGGGAAACCAGTGGTGGCGTCGCCAAATGTCGGCTGTTTTCTCAGGCTAGGTTTTGTTCAGTAATTCTCAAATGCGAATAAATTTGTTAGAATTTCTGCATGGTAGCAGATATCGATCCGTCGATGACTTGAAACCTTCCGCAGTAAGCCTTGTGGTGTGGGACTCCGAAACTTTCTTCAGACTTCTCTTCTCATCTTTAAATCTTAAGCTCGATTTGTAGAAGTTAGGCAATATCGCATATAAAATAAGAGTCCAAGACCATGCATCTTCGATGACATGCATGGCGGCCACCGGCCACAGTGGCTTTCGGTACCGATTGCTTCATCTAAAACTCACCTCTGTTGACGTCTTGGAACAAACTGTCCAGTGGTTCCTCTAAAATTATGTTTGCACGGCAGCTGAAAGCAAACAAAATCGTGAGAAGGTACGGTGTAAGCTTGAACATTATCGACTGGTGAAGTTGCTGAAAGGAATATTTGCCACAAGCCGTTCAGTTCGCCTTTTAAGAGGGTTTGAAAACTTTGGCTTCTTACATCGCTTTTCAATCCATTAATTTTTTCCATATCATTATCGGAAGTTAATAACGTGGTTTCGAACTGAAATTAGAATATGTTACTCGAAACTATTTTCTTATCCTGGCTTCTAATCTAAAAAAATTGAAATACTTTTGTTTGAGAAGTTTAACTCCATGTTGACGGCCTCTGTGTTATAGCCAACTTGAGTTTTTGAAGTGATTGTTGTCACTAATTTAGATTAACGTACGTTGTAGGGTCAATGTGAATTTTATGACAGTTTTGTTTGTCGACAGATTATTACCTTATCGATATGAGGAAGCTAGAAAAGCACGATCATGAGCACGATCATGAGCATGATCCACGTTTCGAACCTGTCTCGAGAAAGTGAAACATCAAGACATAAGTCGCAAAAAGTTGGCGTCACTCAAACCTCAGTCGAGGCAGTGAGTCAATTTCCTTCAATTCTCTTTGTCTTTAGCTAAAAATTTGCTCTTCCTTCGAATTCGCGTTGTGTGTTGTGTGCCCTCTTGGTCTAGTGGCGAAGGAGAGTAAGCTTGCTGTATTTATAAAGATTTTATTCGACAACTGAGGGCGTTTCTGTCGTCTTTCTGTCATTTATGTGCCTGTGAAATGTCCCCGGGGTGGGGGCATTTGATCACCTGAAAGGACCCTAGTGTGGGGCATTTGAACGGTATTTTGGCCCGGGTAGGGGGGAATTTGAACAATAATTTTCAAAAAAGTCAAATGCCCGGGGGGTTGCCCGGGGGGATGTTGAAGCTTCGATTTGACCGATACATTAGTGTTTTTAACACCTTGACCGGTTACCGGTCATATAGCCACAGCGATGTTCGATAGTATTTCGTGGCGTGTCGACACTAAATAACATCGGCCGAAACCAGCCTCAGCTAAGTTTCTCGGAACGACCATAACACACGTAATTCGGCGCAATACTCAGGGGCGCTTAACGATGGTTTCCTCCTAAATACATGGAAAACATTTTTTAGGCTGTCCAGAGTACTTTTATATATCTAGAAATGTATTCTAAGCGGCGCTATAAAATTTGAATCTGTTCGGTCATTCTAGGGGAATTTGAGTCTTTTCGAAATTACAAGGGCTTGAGTATTATTTTCCGAAAATTTTAGATGAAATTTGACGTATTACGAAGATACGACATTTTCTGATTCTTAACACAACCACAATTTTTAATCCGAAAATTTTAGGTTCCCTTTTTTCTGCAAAAAATAGCCTACTGACTTGGGAAGTAAAATGTGAAAATTAAACTTAAGAAAATCGTAGGGAATTTATAAAATAAGCTTCGAAAATTGTATGTGAATGGAAATGTCATCTAGAAATTTTTAGCCGTCTTCAAGTAGAGAAAATTCTAGGCAATATTTGCTTCTCCGAACAGATATTTTACAGAAAACAGTCGTTGGGTGCCCCTGAATACTGCTGAGCTTATTGTAGATTTAACAGTTTTTAGTAATATAAACTGTTAATGTCAAAAATTGACCCTTTTTTAACTCAAATTAACATTCTTGCAGCGATCGATCAAATGAGCGGAAGTCGTGGGTTCATTTTGTGAGACGCCGCTGACATATCGATGACTCATCTGGTTTAGGTCGATGTTATCTAGTTCCTTCCGTGATGAAATACGTGCAAAAATGCCCCAGAAGCCAAACTATGAATCAAAGAAAATTCGCGTTTTGAGAGAAAATGGGAGAAAATCCAAATTAAAGCACAGAAAAGCTCATAACTCGATTTTATCCGGGATATATTGTGATCCGTACGGGAGACCGGTTGTCGTATCAGGGTGAGTTGACATGTATGGGCTTTCTACTATTAATCCCTTCAACAATAATTATCATTCGCTCAATCATCCGATGCTGTATGATTTATATTTAAAGATTATAATATTGGAAACGCGGTTATAATACTATTATCTGTTTTACTACAAATTACTAGAACATATTTGTATTCTTTATTTGTTAGACCTTGAAGGCCAACTACTTTTTAATATTTTTTTATGAACACTATTCTGTTAATATAACGCTCCTATGAGCTTTTATCTTAACCGGGTAGTTTACAGTTTCGTTTATAGACGTCCTTATAATATCGTTTACCTCTTTAACATATTTTGATTTGAACATTGAACAGTCCTTCGGAGCACCTTGTATATGTCTGATATATACATGGTCAGTCATAATTAATGTGCATCTTCAGTTTTTTTTTTTTCATATATTCACAGAGGTCGTTTTTGCAATACCCTCCCTCCTGAGAATACTACATCCATATATCCATATATGTTTACTAATGATTTTATCAAAGAGTCTCTCTGAAATATTTCATCGTTGTTTGATAAAATTGTTTAACAATGAGTATACCTTCGACAGTTTTCACAAACTTTTAAATCCCGAATTCATAGAACAGTTTTTTCCTGATCGTTGTAAAACCATTCTTTGCAATTCACTCATAAAGGATAATTACCCTTGTTTGTTCTGCCATCACATTGTTTAGAACAATAACACAAACATTTAATAAGATAATCACTTTATTATTATACATTTATTGTGAACAGTCTTTCTCAAGCATGTATTCATAACACCCAAGTTGATAGCATTCATCCCTTCTTAAAAAGTCCATGTAGAGTAAATAAACTCTGCTAGTAGACTTCAAGTAGACTCCACCCTTAGCTTTGATGAACATATTACAAACACTGTCTCATCATATTTAGGTAGTTTATGTCAGATAAATAGGGTGAGACATCTTCTCGGTACCAGGACATTGGAGAAAGTTATAAATGTGCTGGTGTTTAGCAAATTATACTATTGTTCTCCAGTATGGTCTAGCACAACTAAGAAAAATATCTCAAAGTTTGCCCCGTTTCATAGCTTTACCGTGCTTGTTTTGACTCGTGGCTTTGAGCGTGCCAGTCCGTCTCGAATAAAGGGCCCGGGGGACTTAGGGTTTAAAGAACGAGTTAAGTTACGTGCGTACCGTCCTTGTTTCGACTCGTGGCTTTAAGAACGCGTTATGCCATTCGCGTAGCGTGCTCGTTTCGGCTCATTGCTTTAAGAACGAGTTATATTTTTTGTGAAGCGTGCTTGTTTTGACTCATCGCTTTAAGAACGACTTATGTGTACCGACGTCCGTGCTTGTTTCGACTCATGGCTTTAAGAACGACTTCTGTTGCCTGTTAGGCTTGCCATTCTCGACTTAGGGCTTAAAGAACAAGTTATGTTACACGTTTAGTGTGCTTGTTTTGACTCATGGCACGACTAGACTTCCTGAGATTCCATCGGAATCGATGTGTTTCCAATGGATCCGATGGACTCCATCGGACGACTTTCCAACCCTCCTCTAAGTATTGTTTACACTTTCGGTTTCATCTCATGACTAAACTTCCGGTAACTCAAGCGGACTCTACTGAACTTCCGGTTTCATTTTTCGACTAGACTCCGTCGGACTCCAGGTTTTGTCCACTGGAATCTGGTCGAGAGTATTGGACATGTGTGGAGGCAAAAAATCCAGAATTTCGCTGCAACAATAATCACTAATACACGTAAATTTGATCATATAAGATAAAAAACACCGGTTCTTCAGGAGTTACGCTGGCTAGCTGGAGTATTTGTCGTATACGGTAGGCGTTCTCGCGTTTAAGTGTGTGTAAGGGCTAGTACCTAGTTACTTGAGTGATCGTTTTGTGACAAGACCTACTGTTCATGATCGCAACACAAGAAATATGGACCATCTTAACGCTCCAGCTTATCAATCGGCCGCAGGTCAGCGAACTTTTCTATATAGAGCAATTAAACTCTGGAACTCACTGCCTCGTGCAATAACTGCCTCAGATAGCCTGTGTACTTTCAAAAAGAAACTTAGAGAATTCCTTTTCGAATTATTTCTTGTCAGCTAGTTTTTATGTATTATTATAATTTTAACGTCTAGACATTTTACCTTAATATGTATTATTTACATGCTTATGTACGTTGGGTCTGAAAAACCCTGATTGGGAGATTTAATAAAGTTTTACTTTTACTTTACTTTCTAGGATCCATCTTACAGAGGCAAACTAAATATTTCATCCATGTCTCTTTTATCTGCAAATTTAGTCTATTTTCCACTTCCCGTGTACAAGCTTCCAAAATTTTTTTAAGTCTACTTTTCCTTTCACGTATTCGAAACATGTTGCCGACGCCTCCTGAGCGTCCATGGTCAGCTGCATGGTCAAGCAAGTGTGATGCAGTTGAGATAAATCATCCATTTTGCAACCATCACAATGTCCATTCACAGCTGCATAGATCAGACGATTCACTTCTCTAACAAATACATCTTCAAAAATCTCTCCTATTTTATTCCGCATGAGGTGTACCCCCATTTCAACTTCATGAATTATGATTTGGTCTGATCCAACCATGATTTCATTTTGTACTTCAGAAACTCAATGTCTTTAAGAATGATCCTTTCTTAACCTTTTTTTTCACATTATATAAATTGAAGGACCGATAAAAATAAACAACGGTGTCATAGACTATAGAAAATAGCTGATAATGTCAAAAACCCTTTCTAATTTAAGCTGATGATGTCATCTCACCAATTACCATATTAAATGATTATTTTTGATGATGATCTCATCGTTTTTTGATGACGTCAACTCCCTAAATTGTGATGCAGAATACCTTTCTATTTTTAGATGATGATCTCATCATTTTAATCCCTTGAGCTATTGTGACGTCAACTCCACCACCACCACTACTGCGTATGATAGCAATAAAACTGGGATGGGATTCGCACTCTCGCGGGATTTATTTTATTTAGGTTTTTTCGGAGCCGCAGCCGTAGGTCTCGCTTTTCGGTTGATGTTAGATAGGATTTCGTGACGTTTTGACACTAACGGAACATCGACCGAAACTAGCGTTCCTGGGAAAGACAA